ATTGCTACAGCCAACCTTCAATATATCTAGCTATGTGACAAATAATGTATTTAGAATATATTAATTTTCCTAAGAAGAATGAAGTTTAGTTCTAGTATCAGAACTTTAGGAATGCCAAGTTGTTCCTCTAATGTGGCCTTGTTTGCAGGCCTTCCCCAATGAGAACAACTTCATCTTGAAGATGAGACTCAAAGGTACAGTAAGGTACCACTGGATGGTACATGTTGTTGTTGTTGTTAGGTGCCATTGAGTCGGCTCCAACTCATACTGACCCTATGTACAACAGAATGAAACACTGTCCAGTCATGTGCCTTCCCCACAATACTTGCTATACCTGAGGCCATTGTTACAGACACTGCGTCAATCCATCTCATAGAAGGGCTTCCCCTTTTTCACTCACCCGTCACTTTACCAAGCAAGACCTCCTTCTCCAGGGACTGGTCCCTTCTGACAACATGACCAAAGTAGGTGAGATGAAGTCTGGCCATTCTTGCTTCTAAGGAGCATTCTGGCTTCACTTCCTCCAGGACAGATTTGTTAGTTCTTCTGGCAGTCCATGATATTTTCAGTATTCTTCACCAACACCAAAACTCAAAAGCATCAACTCTTCTTCAGTCTTTCTTATTCATTGTCCTGCTTTCACATGCCTATGAGGCAATTGAAAATACCATGGCTTGGGTTAGGTGCGCCTCAGTCTTCAAAGAGACATCTTTGCTCATCAGCACTTTAAAGAGGTCTTTTGCAGCAGATTTGCTCAGTGCAATATGACATCTGATGTCTTGACTGCTGCTTCCATTTGTGTTGATTGTGGATCCAAGTAATATGGAATCTTTGATAACTTCAATCCAAGTAATATGAAATCTTTGATAACTTCAATCTTTTATCCATTTATTGTGATGCTATTTGTTGGTTCAGTTGTGAGAATTTTCATTTTATTTATGTTGAAGTATAATCCATACTGCATACTGTAGTCTTAATCTTTATCAGTAAGTGCTACAAGTCATCTTCACTTTCAGCAAGCAAGGTTGTGTCATGTGCATATTGCAGGTTGTTAGTGAGTCTTTCTCCAATCCTGAGGTTGCATTCTTCTTCATATAGTCCAGCTTCTTAAATTATTTGCTCAGTATACAGTTTGAATAAGTATAGTGAAAGGATACAACCCTGACACACACCCTTCCTAGTTTTAATCCACTTGTTGTTTGAATGACAACCTCCTGGGCTAGGTATAGGTTCCTCGTGACACAATTAAGTGTTCTAGAATTCCCAGTCATCTCAAGGTTATCCATAATTTGTTATGATCCACACGATCTAATGCTTTTGCATAGTCAATAAAACACAACTAAACATCTTTCTGGTATTCTTTGCTTTCAGTCAAGATCCATCTGACATCAGCAATGATATCCCTCATTTCATGTTCCCTTCTGTATCTAGCCTCCATTTGTGGAAGTTCCCTGTCAATATACTAACACAATTGCTTTTGAATTATCTTTAGCAAGATTTTACTTGCATGTGATACTAATGACATTGTTCAATACTTTACACATTCCGTTGGATCACCTTTCTTTGGAATGGGTACAAATATGGATTTTTTTTCCAGTCAGTTAGCTCTCTTCCAAATTTCTTGGCATAGATAAGTAAGTTCCTCCAGTGTGGCATCCATTTGTTGAAACATCTCAATGGGTATTCTATCAATTCCTGGAGCTTTGTTTTTGTCAATTTTTTCAGTGCAGCCTCAATTTCCTCCTTCAATTACCATTAGACTTATCACCATTGGATGATGCATGGACTTTCTAATAACAGAGTTGTCATCTAGGATCTTAAAATCTCAAATAAAAAGCAATCCCTGAAATAGTACATCATTATAGAAAATGAGTAACTCCTTTATGGGTCCCCCCTAGTCATGGTTTGATCAAAAGGGAGAGACTATATAAGTAAACTGCAAAATTGAGGCACTTGTTATGACTAAAATGGCTGCTTCTGATCTAAATTTAAGACTGTTTTGAATGTAACTGCAGCTTGGCCCCAAATCTCTACTTTTGCTGCTCTGAAGAGACAATTTAGCTTCCTTTAAAATTTTAACTGTTTGCAACCCAGGAGGAACAAGTGTCATGATTTTGGCATGTGCAAACTATTGTCTGTTAAAGATGTTTGTCAAGAGTGTTTGTGTGGCTGGATTCAAGATGAATGCTTTGGTCAATATATCTCAGGAAGTTAGGAAATAGGGATGATAATTTTAAGGAGGATTGTAGTTTAATAAGCCCCTTGTTTTTGTTACATAGTCCTTTGTGCCTATGAGCACAGAGTCTACTGTTTACTCCACCTGTTAAAAGCCTCACTCTCTTCCTGCTATTTGGAACCCTGTAGTACCCTACCCAGATGCTAATGTGTCTCCTGATTCATGAGTCTCTATCTTTCAATAAAACTTTGTGTTCAATTCTAACAGAGTGTATGAATGTTGCTTCCCTACAACACCTCCTTTGGCTCTCAAGCAACCAGTGATGGAGGAAGGATATGTACTTTTTTTGAGGAGGCAGGATTTTGAGAAAAGAGAAATTAAGTATCTTGCGCAAGACCATGCAACTAAAAACAGGTAATCATGCAGGTGTTTTTAGCACATCGAGTTGTAGAACCAAGGCCATTGTTAGATCCACAGTCTAGGGGGCCTCTCCTAACCTTCACCAACTTTGTTGTTGTTAATGTGCCGTCAAGTTGGACCTGACTCATAGCAACCCCTCCTTGGGTTTCCGAGGCAGTATCACTATGGAAGTAGATTGCCCAACCTTCCTTACGAGGAGTGGCTGGTGGGTTTGAACTGCCAGCCTTCTGGTTAGCAGTGAAGTGTCTTAGGCAATACACTATCAGAGCTTCCCAAGTGCCTTAGGCACTATAAAAAAAAAATTCCTAAAGTTCGTGAAGATTTTTTGTGAGAGTTGCCAAATTAAAAAGCGAAATGTCTACATTTCTGAGGCATGACACCAATTATGCATGTCTTTCAGGAAAAGAAATCAGAGTCCCTTGAGCATGGGGGAAACAGCAAGTTCTCTGGGTGATCTGAGTATGGTGACTTAATTGGCAATATAAAAACGTGTTTTACGTCTAAAATGTCATCCTTGAATATTTGTCTAACTGCTGCAGTCCACTTGATGATGTTTTTCTTTAATATAAAACTATTTATAATTACTTAAGTTATTAAAATTCTTTTGAATGCAAAGTAAAAGCATCAAAGCCTAACCAGACCCTTCCTTGTCTTGCCGTAGGGACTCCATCACCCACCCGAGAGTCCCTGTGATAGATGACAACGATGTTATTTTTTTCCCCTCAGTATTTCCACTTGACAATTCTAAAAACCAGAGATTTTTCTGAAAACCATAGGCCAATTAGGTGGAGTTGGCAACTCGTCAGGAGCCCTTGGCAAGAGTCAGGGACAGCCCACCCAGTTTTGAGTTTCTCCCTGAGGAGAAAAAGATGTCCCAACAGATGGGGGTTTATACACTGACTGGGTGACATGGGGGTACTGGCTAAGAGGTCAGACTTAGAATCAAGTCAGACTTGCCAGCGTCAGGATCCACCCATGCTTCCTTCCTACGAGTTTCGCCTCCCCAGCCTCAGTTTCCTCATCTGAAATAAGGATAGTTATCTACCACATCTAACAAGAGATATGATTACTTAAGGATGTAGGTGAAAGATTGTCGTTCTTTTATGAATAAACAGAGAAGCATAAAACGTCATTTGGGGTTTGGAAGGTTTTGTAAAGCTTCCCCCGTCCCCCCAACAGGAGCCACAACACTATGTCTCACGTGCTTAACCGTTTGCTTTTTATCAAAGTCCTCTCAGATACTCTCATTTTATACCTTCCAGAAGCACAAAAGGGTGATTAACTTCGTTTATGGCCGAGAACACTGAGGCTCAGCGAGATCTAGGGATGCTCGCCCGGAGTCCCCACCTGGGGATGTACTTCACGTCTGACACGCAGGTCTAGCCCATCCTTCTACTGCAAAACGTCTGGTAGGTAATGGATTTCTTTTCGAGGTCTGCCCGCAGCCGACCCACAGGCGGGAAACGAGTGGGAGTGGCCCGAGCGCGAGGCCGCACGCAACGCCCCGCCCCTGCTCAAGCCCCGGATGAGGAAGTGGCGTGGTCATCGAGATGAAGCGGAGGCCAAGCCAGAGTGGTCCGGGAAGGGTAGGCGGGAAAGGGGCCGGGCCCCGGGGCGGAGCCGCCGGACCGGCGCGGGTTCTCAGGTGAGCGCTCCGTGGCCCCGGCAGGCCACCCGTCGCCTAGGACTCAGGGGGGGAAGCCGCGCGGGCCGTGGGGGCGTAGGCCGGGCGCGAGGGACCCGACGATTGTCTGGCCTGCGAGACCACGGAGACGCGGGTGAGTGGAGCTTTCTGCCCTGGGAAGGGGATATGGAGTGTTCGGGTGGGGGCCGCGGCTAGGGTTCGGGTCAGCCTGTGCGTTTTAGCGACCTCTGCTGTGAAATGGAGGTGGTAGTGGAAAGAGTCCGCTGAGTTTGTGCAAATGGAGGTTTAGAGAACGAATCCTTGCCTGCCTTGACCAGGATGTTGACTGCGAAACGTCAACAGGGGACGTGCCTCTTAGTATCTGAGTGACCTTGGGCGAGTCCCTTGCCTTTATGACCCTCATTTTCCTCATTCACACAATGAGTCAACTACACCTATTTCGCGTTGTTTCGAATATTCGAGTGTTTTAGGTTTAAATGGAGACAAGGTATAATGACAGCCCACTCATTGAAGTCTTCCCTTCAGGGATGTGACAGGAAGAAAGTCATCTTGGAGGTTGGCCTAGTTAGGCACTGATCCGAATTGCCCTTAGTTTCCAGGTTCTGTGGGTCTATTTGTTCTCCATCCGTCCCTGTAATGGGAGTGATTTCGTGGGAGGGTTGCCCTGCATCTCATCTGAATATCTTCACTGGCCTCAAATCAGAGCTTTTGCAATAAGTTTGACATTCTAGCCTTTTTGTTTGTGTATTTATGGCAGAGAGGCACCATGAGTTCCCTCGCCCTGGATTGGAACAGCTGAAGAAAACAAGATGAGAACAACAAAGGTCTACAAACTCGTCATTCACAAGAAGGGCTTTGGGGGCAGCGGTCAGTACCGATTTATCTTTGGAAGTTGTGGAAATTGGCAGAGATTCTGGTGTGGTCAGAGCCTTGAAAACTAGACATTGAGTAGTGATATTTGGGGCTACACAGACAACTAAGTAAAGCTGCAAGCATGCTACAGTAATGGGGAGGATGGTGTCACCAAGGAACAGAGGTCTCTTCTAAAAGCATTCACATTCCAATTTTGAAGAACACTGAATGTTTCCTGTTCACTACCTTTCGCTTGTTTAATTGTTTTGTTTACTACATACCAAAAAAAAAAAAAAAGCAACCAGACTCCCTGCTGTTGAGTTGATTCAACTCATAGTGACCCCTCCTTGGCTTTCCAAGGTGGTATCTCTATGAAAGTACATTAGCCAGTCTTCCTTCTGAGGAGAGGCTGCTGGGTTTGAACCACCAGCCTTCTGGTTAGCAGTTGAATGTCTTATGCATTACATTGCCAGAGCACCCTGTTGAGTACATACTCACCATATATGTTGCGTAAAATTCCACAACCGGTACTGGTTTGGAAGATAGAGGGAAACTAAGATGCCATTTACATTTTCACATTCAGTGAGAGAAAAGTAGTGTAATTGTGCACAAGACAGTTGTCATCCCAGCACAAGCTTCTGCCTGGCTCCCGAGCTTGATGAGAAAGGGCAGGACACAGCATGCAGTCCTGCATGAAAGTACAAGTTGAGAAACCGGGATCTGAGTACCAGTCCTGCTCTAACTTGCCCTGTCATGTTCAGCAAGCCCCTTGTTCGCCTTAGCTGTAGATCTAGGGGCTTTAGAATAGTTTCTGTGTTTCACTTTGCACCCGAAGTCTATCAGTCAGATGACTCAGAAGGGACTTAATACCAAACCAAAACCAAACCCATTGCCATCAAGTTTATTCCTACTTGTTCCACCCCATAAGATACAGTAGAACCTCCCCATAGGGTTTCCAAGGCGACGATCTTTTCCGAAACAGACTGGCACATGTTTCTTGTGCAGAGCAGCTGGTGGGTTTGAAACTGCTTACCTTTTGGTTAGCAGGCAAGCGCTAAACCACTATACCATCAGCTCTCTTTAGGGACTTAATAATATACTATATTTTCCTTTCTATCTCAACAACATTCTTTGCTTCAGAAACTGAAATTATCAACATGATATATTGTTGCTGTTATGTGCTGTTGAGTCGGACCCAACTCACAGTGACCCCTTGATCCCTCCTTGGGTTTCCGAGGCAGTGTCGCTATGGAAGTAGATTGCCCAACCTTCTTCCAAGTAGTGGCTGGTGGGTTTGAACCGCCAGCCTTCTGGTTAGCCATCAGGTGCCTTAGGCGCTACTACCAGAGCTCCTTCAACACGATACAGTATCTTCTAAATCATAGGGTGTTATGGGAATTAAGTAAGGTGATGGATAGAAAGCATTTAGCAGAGTGTAAGTTGTATCCTTAATAAATGTAGCTATTACAATTATCGAGACAGTTATATCAGTATTGTTATATTTAAAACACAATTACTGTTAGAATGCAGTCTGTGGTTAACACTATGCTTTGTATGTTGTAGATGCTGCCTAAACATCTGTGGAGTAGAATTGAAGAGACAGGAGAAGTAACTTTTGGCAGAGGGAGAGATACAGTGTATACAATATGTATCAAGTATAGTGCCCGTTTAATGTATGCAAGACAGACGTAGCAGGGTGCTGTACCCAGTTGTCTGCTGGACTATATATAAAAAAATATACAACTAATATAGTTGTTAGTCTCATATCTGTGCTAAACATAAAGATGAATACCAGGTCCCTTGTCCCCAAGAAACTCTCAGCTTGATGAAAGAGACAGACACACAACACGGAAATGATAAACTGGAGCAGAATGAAGTATATGTGTTCATGGAGCTTAATTCAGACTGTGGAGGTTAGGGGAAGACATCACAGAAGATGCAGGATAAAGCTGTCAGTGGAAACAGTATACCAAATCATATTTGGAATGAAACCAATGTTTTGCTTTATAAGCTTGAATTTTTTTTGTGTTATTAATTTTAGGACCATGAGCCCTGGTGGTTCAGTGGTTTAAGTACTTGGCTGCTAATCAATGAGGTTGGGTGGTTCAACCCCACTAGCCACTGTGTGGGACGAAGATGTGGCAATCTGTTTTGTAAAGATTTACAGCTTTGGAAACTCTATGAGGCAGTTCTGTTCTGTCCTGTAGGGTCACTATGAGTCAGAATCAACAGCAAGTTTTTGTCTATTTTTTTAAATTTTATTATGATTTGGGTGAAAGTTTACAGAGCAAATTTATCTTCCATAAGGCAGTTCACATGCACTTTTTGACAGCAAGTTTTTAATTGATTATATTAAGGTCCCTGGGTGGGTAAGAGAGAGCTCTGGTGGCATAGTGGTTAAAGTTTGTGGCTGCTAACCAAAAGATCTGTGTTTTGGACTTACCAGCCACTGTGTGGGAAAAAGATGAGGCAGTCTGTTTTTGTAAAGATGTACAGCCTTGGAAACCCTATGGGCAGTTCTACTCTATCCTAAAGGGTAGATGTAAGTCAGAATTGAATTGATGGCAGTGAAGTTGGTTTGGCTTTGGGTGCTACAAACGGTTTGTGCTGGACTACTAAAGATTGACAGTTCGAGCCCACCCAGTGGCACGTGGAAGAAGTGCCTAATGACCTGCTTCAGTAAAGATAACAGCCAAGGAAACCCTATAAAGCAGTTCTACTCTGTAACACATGGGGTGACCATGAGTTGGAATTGACATGACAGCAACAGGTTTTTGGGTTTTGTTTTGTTTTACTGATTATATTTGAAATCTGGATATATTTATTTGTTGAGGTTTTAGCATAATTGGAAGCTATGTTTGTCCCCTAAACTTAAAATAGAAAAAGTCATCCCATCTTTATGATTTTCAGTTTGGTATATATGAAAGGGGAGCTCTGGTAGCACAGTGCTTAAGGCACTTGACTGCTAACCAGAAGGCTGGCAGTTCAAACCCACCAGCCACTCCTTGGAAGGAAGATGGGGCAGTCTACTTCTGTAGTGATACTGCTTCGGAAACCCAAGGAGGGGTTGCTATGAGTCAGGTCTGACTCGATGGCACATAACAATAACAACAACATGTATGAAAGCGTTCACTGCCACTTCTTCAGGGGTAAGGGGATAAACATATTAAACCATGTCTTCCCTATATTTTGTTGAGTCTTGCTGGGCCCTAGCTTGAGTTGATACTTGAAGATTTGTCCTGATCAGATGCTTTCCTCCAAAGATCAGGCCATTTTATTTGGTTTGATTTTTATGTCACACAAGAGGTGGTGAGTTTCAGGTAAAAAAGCCCTGGACTAGTTAGTAATCAATCCTGCCTGTGCTGTCTGCACTTAGGTAAGTCACTTTACCTCCTGGATTATTTCCACTCCTGTTAAATTCAAGAATTTATTGTGAGAGTCACCATAAGATAGGATTTGGGGAAGTTCTTTGAACACTACATGTATAAGGGGTTGTACTTTGACGTTGGGATCCAGGCCATTTTGGTGGTAACTTGGCATTTAGCAGGTATATTGAGGCCTGATTCCCAGAGACCAAGGTCTGCTGCTCACTGGTAGCGGTGAGTAATAGAACATGGGCTCTGGAGACACAGGACCTGAGCGCTGGCCCTTCTCATCTGTTCACCAGCTTTGTTGCCCTGTTCACATCCTTTAGTTGTTCTGAACCTCAGTTGAAAATGGAAGCTCATGTGTCAATCAAGTTCCTAGCTCTAACCGGATAGCATTGTGGGGACCTGTTAGGAGAATGTCTGCAGCCTCCCTGAAGCCCGTATCACTGTGTTTTTGGTTGAGATGATTGAATTGCCTTTTAGATGATGAGCTGGTCATGAACCCCAAAGTGTTTCCTCACATCAAGCTTGGCGACATTGTGGAGATCGCTCACCCCAACGATGAGTACAGGTGAGTGTCTTGCTGAGACCAAGGGAACTAGGCAGCCTGCTGCTTCCAAATGGTGTTTTATCCAAGGGGCTTGAAGGGTAGGATAATGGCTTACCTTTGGCTAAACTTGCTCCTGTCTGCTGCTGAGTTGCGCCCAACTCATGGGGAACCCGTGATAGGTTGTAGATTGCGCTGTTGTCATGCATTTATTTTCATCAGCTGAATTTAGGAAGTAGATTGCTGGCCCTTTCCCCTTAGTCTGTCTTACTCTGGAAGATCGACTGACACTCGTTCAGCATCCTAGCAACACATAAAGCTCCGCTGATGGATGGGTGGGGGCTGCGCAGGAGGTACATTGGCTGGGAAGCGTACCCACGTTCCCTGCATGGCATGCGAGCATTCTCCACTGAACCATCACTGTCCCCATTCGTGCCTTCTAGGATTTGCTAAAGCAGTGACGATATTAAAATAAGGCTATTCTTTCTATTTGCAAATAAAGAGCCGCAGTGACAACTCTGAAAAAAATTCTGTAGTGTTCATCCATTCCCTTTAGTGCAAGTGCAGAGTTTGTTTCTGAAGTGACTCTCATTCATTGTTGGGCTATAAGTAACGGTGTGTCAGAAGGGGTCTGTTTGCCTATCGGGTGGTGAAGAGAGCTGGGGAGTTATTCCTGAAAGCATCCACCTCTTTGTTGCTTCCTTTTCCAGCCCTCTGCTTTTGCAAGTCAAGTCACTCAAGGAGGATTTACAGAAAGGTAAGGTTTCTATTTCTTTTCTCTGAGATTTTTATACTTTGCCGCCCTGGAAATGATAAGAAACCTCTCTATGCAGTCTCAGGGCCTGAAAGCACTGTACTGCTCTTATCAGAGTCTGTTCTCTTAACAAAAATGTCAGCTATTACTGTCAAGGACTGTTTGTCTGTCAGTATCTTGGGGGCATTGAAAAAAGTGATTTGGTCTGTGAAGCTTCAGAGCTAACTCAAAAAACAAACAAAAGCTGTGGGCAAAACAAGCTTTCCTAAATGCATTTCTCACAAGATATTTATTGAGTGTACACTGTGGCACTGAGAAAGAGGAAGACACAGACAGGGACATGAGGTGCAGATAACAGAGATAAAGCCTTTTATATAAACAATACTGAACTGTCACTGATAACAAACAATTAATCTATGAGTAAATAGATGGGTGTTGTTATTGTTGTTGTTATGTGCCTGGAGTTTGTCTCCGACTCATAACAACCCTTCCTTAGGTTTCCAAGGCAGTATCTCTACAGAAGTACATTGCCTAGTCTTCCTTCCAAAGAGTGGCTGGTGGGTTTGAACTGCCAGCCTTCTGGTTAGCAGTCAAGTGCTTTAGGCACTACATTACCACAGGCTGAATGATCAGATCTGTCTAGGCGAAAGGGAATGTACCCATGACCATTCATAAGGTTTGCAGACGATATTTCTTTATACATATTTGTATGTGCTGTAAGAATGTCCAGATATATAATAGCGGTTATGAGGGCCAAAGTCATGATAACTTCCTGGCCACTGCTAGCCACTCTGCGAGAGTGAGTAGTTGGACCTGTGGGCTTGGGACCATGGTCACAGGGGACATCAAGCTCAATTGGCATAACATACTATACAAAAACATTGTTCTATGTTCTATTTTGTTGAATAGCAACTGGGGTCTTAAAAGCTTGCAGGTGGCCATCTGGATGCAACAATGGGTCTCTCCTTGTCCAGAGCAAAGAAGAATGAAGAAAACCAAAGACACATGGAATAATTAGTCCAGGGGACTAATGGACCATGTGATTTTCAGCCCACGTGACCATGAGACCGAAAGAACTAGATAGTGTCTGGCTACCAATGCCGATTGCTCAGAAAGGGATCAGTGCAGGAGATCCTGGATAGAGTGGGAGAACAGTGTGGAGCAAAACTCAAATTCATTAAAAGACCAGGTTTACTAGTCTGGTAGGGCCTGGTGGGACCCTCGAGACTATGGCCCTTCGTTACCCTTCAGGTCTGGAATTGAACTTCCTCCTCTGTCTTCCAGCCAAACAATAGACAGGCATATGGGGTGAACATTTATATCAGGTAGATACACTCCAATCATAGGAAGACCGAAGGGCGGTGTTTGCACAGGGAGATAGCTTGCGGGGAGGGATTCATAGGAAAGAAGGACACAGGGAAGAGGCAGCTACAGGGAGGAAGTGGAAAGAGAGCTGCTACATTGTGGGGAATTGCAGTCAGTGTCATGAAACAAAACGTGTATGAACTGCTGTATGGAAAATGAATTTGCTCTGTAAACTTTTACCCAAATCACAATAAAAATTAAAAAGAAAAAAATTATCGAGTGTCTCCTCTAGGTGGGTGGGGACAGGGCAGGAAGAAGAATCGTAGGACTCAGGAGGAAGAACCATAAACTGACGATTACCTACTTGTTTGTAAGGAATTTTCTTTATATCCTCAACAACTCTTGAGTGGGTGAGGAAACTTGGTCCCACCGTGCCTGAGCTAAATCAGTAAATGGAGACTGTGCTCACATTCTGGATCTCTTCCTCGAATGACTATGCTATGCTGATCAAGGCAACAAAATGTTAATTGATAACAAATAGTTTCTTAAATTGTACTTAAGAGGAAACAGAAAGCCCCAGAACATCAAAACTTTTGGGTTTTACATTATAGGACTTTGATGTCAACTCTTGTTTTACCTTTAGGTTTGAAGGCAAAACATTCTATAAAACCAAAAGCCAAATGGTTAAGATTTTTATCAACCCGGATCCTAAAAGATTCCTTCTTCCCTTCATCCCATCTCCTCCACCTTTTATGTTTCTTATCAGACTTAAGGGCTTTTATAAATTTGTTTACTCCTTAACCACTACTGCCTTCATTCCAAACATGCAGGGCTCCCTTTCCTCCTGAATTTTCACAGCTCTTTGAACTTTCTTAGGTTGCTTTTTCTTTTTTTCTCTCTCACATTGCTTAGGCTCAGGTCTGATTGTGCTTACTTGTTTCACCTGGAGAGGAGAGAACTCTACATTGTAAGCTCCTGGAAGGCAGGGAATGTGAATGGCCCATGATAGGCAAGCAGTAGATTATACTCACTGCCATCGAGTGGATTCTGACTCTTAGTAACCCCCATTGGGTTTCCGAGGCTGTAAATCTTTACAGAAGTAGATTGCCCATTTTCCTTCTGCAGAGCGGCTGATGGATGTGAACCATTGACCTTCTGGTTAGCAGCCAATGCTTTGTCCACTACGTTACCAGAGCTCCTTAAATTAGAATATATCCCTTGCTTTTCAGAAGGTGTTACCTAGTCTGAATTTCTTTTCCTCTTTCAGAAACTATCAGTGTGGACCAGACTGTGACTCAAGTGTTCCGGCTAAGACCCTATCAAGATGTCTATGTGAATGTTGTGGACCCTAAGGTGTGTTTTAGTTCTGGACTTGAAGGTCTTTTTGGAATGTTTAGTACCCTTCCTCCAGATTAGATCAGTAAGGAAATAACAGTTACTGCTTAAGTATAGTGTTACACCTCTTGCCTTCAAGTTGATTATAAATCATGAAGCCCAGTGTGTTTCAGGGTTTTCTTGGCTTTAATCTTTTTTTTTTTTCCAATTTTATCATAATTTGGGTGAAAGTTTACAGAGCAAATTCATCCTCCATATAGCAGTTCACATATACTTTGTCTCATGACATTGGGTGTAATCTCCCACAATGCAACAGCTCTCCTCCCACTTCCTCCCCATAGTTACCTCCCTCCCATGCACTCCTGCCCCCCAGGCTGTCTCCTTGTGCATACACAGCCCATGTATTAGCCTATGGTTAATCTCTCCAAGGAGTGTATCTACCTAATGTAAATGTTCAGCTCACATGCCTATCTTTTGTTTGGCTGGAAGCCACAAGAGTGGGTTCTATTCCAGACCTGAAGGGCAGTTAGGGGCCATAGTCTCAGAGGCTGTACCCGATTTTGAGTTTTGTGCCACGTTGTTCTCCCTCTGTACCCATTGGCTATAATCTTCGTGAAAGCAGATCACCAGGCCTTTATTTTGCAGTGCCACTGGTTGGTTTCAAGCCATCAACCTTTAGGTTACTAGTCTGGTGCAAGCCGTTTGTGCCCCCCGAGGACCTTAAGTATAATGTTAGGACTATTAAATGGGTAGCCTCCTGTAGGTTGTTTAGATTATAGGTAGTATATAGGTTGCATTGGAGCCCCTCTGTTTTTTTTAAAGCTTGTCCTAATAGGTTCCATATAAGTACGTGTCTTTATGAAACTATATGTAAAATATCCTTTTAAAAACCAAGAAGCAAACCTGTTAACGTTGAGCTGATTCTGACTCTGAGTGACCTTGTAAGACAGTAGAACTGGTCCATAGGGTTTCCAAGTTGTATCTTTATGGAAGAGGACTGCTACATCTTTCTCCCAAGGAGCAGCGTGTGAGTTCAAGTCATCCACCTTTTGCTCAGCAGCTGAGTGGTTAACCACTAGACCAGCAGGGCTCCTTAAATTTTCTATTAAGATACTAAACTTATATTATGTGTTTTCATTTATCTTCTAGAAATAATGCCATGATAGGTGAAAATCATTGTGTAGGGTGATTATTGAGACTAAATAGAGAAATAAGGCACACAGCTAAATGTTGTGTTTATGTCAGAATGAAGACTGGAATATAGAATCTTTGCACTAAGCTTGGTACTGCTATAGGATCTGTCATAGACTTATTTGTACTGGAAAGTCTTTTTTGGCAGAATAAAGTTCTTCCTATCCGGGTTCTGCTGTAGAACAGCGAAGCCTGTGAGAGCTTGAACTCCACAGGACTGCTTTATTCTTCTGAGTCCCCAAGTCTTCCACCTTTGACGGGGCAGCCTTACCACTTTTCTGTTGCTCGTTTTGGTGGAAAATATTGGTGTTTCCCTTCTCTGACACAGGTTTTACTGTAGTGGTTTTCCTTTTTGCCAGATGGTTTTTCTGTGGTGAGTGGGCATTTTCTTAAGACCATGAAGTGTGGCACAGTAATGCAGAGAGAAACATATTTTATTATCCCTTTTAGGATGTGACCCTGGACCTAGTGGAATTAACATTTAAGGATCAATATATTGGCCGTGGGGATATGTGGCGACTAAAGAAAAGTTTGGTGAGATATGATTGAAAAATCTGTTACTTTTTCCACCATATGGGTAAGACACGCTTTCTATATAGATTTAGAAGATCTAAGAGGAAGAAGCATATAAAATCATTTCTAATTCAAGCATCTGTAGACAATTGTTATAAGTATTTTGTGTGTTTTTTTTTCTTTTTTTTTTTTTTTTGTCTCTGTAGTCCCCACCCCCCAGCTTTGTTTTGTTTATGTTTAGGTTTTTACTCTGCATTTTAGGTTGGAATGGGAAATGATAATTTGCATTTGAATGGGACTTCATAGTTTCCAAATTTTTACTTACTCTTATTTGCTTCTCACATCCTTTTCTGGGACAGGTGACATTGTTCCTTGTTTGTAGATGAGAAAACTGAGCTTGAGAAGTTAAGTGACTGCCAAGGTTATACACAGCAGTCTGTTAACACTGGGCTGTTACCCCGATTTCACTGCATCCTCCTTCCGTTTTCCTTACTTTATTTTTTTTACTAAACATTTTCTATCTCAAAATGATCAGTTCACCATTTAGCTGTTGCTGAAAATTCTCCTTACTGGGCATTTTAAGTATTATGAAAAAGCAAATTATGCATAGAATTTTAGAATTTGCATGCATTATATATTTTCAGAAATACAGTCTTTTCTCATGTTTTATTTGGTGGGGAGGGTTTAGTTTTCTAAAATAAGACATGAAATGTGTTATATTCAAATGAGTATATAAATGTGTGTGTGTGTGTGTGTATACATATGTGTAGATGATGTATTTGTGAAGCTGGACACTTACTACCACCTGGTCTTTACTATTATTTATGCTTGCCATACTTTTTTTTTTTACTTTCATAATGGTGAAAACATACACAGTAAGATACTTACCAATATAACAACTTCCACATTTACAGCTCAGGGACATTGATTACGTTTTTTGTGTTGTGCCACAATTATTACTGTCTTTTTCCTAAACATTCCACCACCTATTAGCATAAACTCAGTGCCCCCCAAACAAAAGCTTCCCCCTCCCTCCTACCCCTGGTAACCGCTAACAATCTTTGGGAGATATATATATGTATGTGTGTGTGTGTGTGTACACACACATATGTGTATATATACACACACGCATATATGTACATATATGTTATTTTTTCAACCTATCTAGAAATCTTCCCTCCCTTCCCTGCCCATCCATGGTAACCAACAAAGAAAGTTTCCTTTTATGTATAAACCTTTCCTTGACTTTTTATAATAGCGCATTAATACAGATATTTGTCCTTCCATGATTGACTTATTTTTCTCAGCATAGTGTCCTCCAAGTTCTTCCACATTATGCGGTGTTTTGCTGATTCTATATTATTCTCTAGGGTTGCACAGTATTCCATTATGTGTATGTATTACCCTTTATCCATTCCTTGGCTGATGGGCACTTAGGTTGTTTCCATCTCTTTGCTGTTGTGAATAGTGCTGCGATGAACATGAGTGTGCACTTATCTATTTGTGTCCTGCCTCTTACTTCTTTAGGATATATACCTAGTAATGGGATTGCTAGGTCAAATGGTATTTTTATTTCCAACTTTTTAAAGAATCTTCTTGCCATACTTCTAAGAACCTACTGTTACACTTGCCCTGGAAGGTTTTCCAGGGGGACAAATCTATTACTCCAGTGTTAATTGATTTTTGGGTTGGTAAAGAAAATTAGAAAATCAGGAGACCTTGTTTGTGACTCTTCATGGCCTTGATCGGTTGTTCAATCTCTCTGTCTCTCTTGCCTTAGGTCAGCACGTGTGCTTATATCACCCAAAAGGTGGAATTTGCTGGTATCAGGTACGCATTACATCCCTGTTGATTTAGCATCTAGCAAACAAGAGTAGGATTTAGTGTAACTGGGCTACCTAAGGTACTTTAAGAGGTAGCACTGTAAGGACGTAAATGTCCATGTAATAAAATACACATTCACTTCGAATGTTAGATTGTTGTAGTTAAAACAAACAAACAAAATATACTAGAGTAATTTTAAGATTAACGGAAGACATTGCTGAAGCCACCAGGTATTCTGTAACAAAGAAGGAGATGCAAAGTCCTAATTTTAGAATAGGGAAAAACCATAGATAAAGTTAATAAATCAAACCTCATTTTATAGGTTAGGAGAAAGATTTAGAGACGTAAAGCGAATGGTATAGTCCCTAACTTGTTGCCTTTTAAACTAGATTGCACTTTTTTTTTTATATATATATAATTTTTATTGTGATTTGGGTGAAGGTTTACAGAGCAAATTCACTTTCTTTACAGCTTCTCACATACACTTTGTCTCATGATGTTGACTGCAATTTCCCCCAATGCAACAGCTCCCCTCCCTCTCCCTTCCCATAGCTACATCTTCCCTGTGTCCTTCCCTCCCATGCACTCTTGCCCCCCAAGCTATCTCCCTGTGCATACTCAGCCCTTCTATTCGCCAATGATTGATCTCTCCAGGGAGTGTATCTACCTATTGTAAATGTTCAGCCTGTTTTTTGCTTGGCTGGAAGCCACAGGAGTAGGTTCAGTTGCAGACCTGAAGGGCAGCTAGGGGCCATAGCCTCAGTGGTTCTATCAGGCTCTATCAGACCAGCAAACCTGTCCCCCCTTTTTTTAAAAAATGATTTTGAGTTTTGTTTTACATTGTTTTCCCAATCTATCCAGGGTCTTCTACCTAGATCCCTGTCTGAGTGATTGACGGTGGTAGCTGGGTACCATCTAGCTCTTCTGGTCTCTTAATCGTACAGGCTGAGGATTTCATGGTGTACCAGTTGCTTGGACTAATTGTTTCCATGCATCTTTGATTTTCTTCATTCTTCTTTGCTCTGAATGAGGAGAGACCCATTGTTGCATCTGGATGGCTGCTTGCAAGCTTTTAACATCCCATTCGCTACTTGCCAAAGTAGGATGTGGAATAATGTTTTTGTAGATTATACTATTCCTGATTTATTAAAAGCGTATCTATATTTCAACAAGTGAAGAAAAGAGAAAAAGGGGCTTTTTCGGTTTGTTTTTTGTTGTTATTTGGGTGGAAGTTTATAGAGCAAATGTATTTCCTAAGTATTATGTCCTCTGAGCAAAAGATTTTGTTTCATGACATTGACCACAATCCCCGTAATATAACAGATCTCTTCCCACCTCTTCCCTGTGGTTACCTTTTCCCTGTGTCATTTCCTGTGCATTCATGCCCTCTGAGCTATTTCTGAAAAAGTGATTTTTTTGAAACCCCTTTCTAATTCAGATACAGCCTGCACACAGTAAAGCATTCAAACAGTACAAGAAGGTGTATAATGAAATATAAATCCTTTTCCTTAGAAGCAATGTATGTCTTTCCTGCAGTGTGCTGTGTAATGCAAACATATTTGTCTGGTTGACTCACTTTTAGTGAGGCTGAGATTGATTAGTGATGTCAGGTGATGCAGCCTGATCCCCCATTGTAAACTTCCCCCTGAACCTTTCACCTAATGGTTTCACCCATTGATGATTTTTGGAAAATGGTGATTTTCTAGTTAGGTCATTTTTTCTACATTTATTAGAATCCTTCTATAAAGAAAACTTCATCATCAGGTATGGTTATTTGATTTGAAAAACTGATCGTAAAAGAAAGAAAAGGTAAAGGATTAGTTCTTTCTAGAGAGATTTTCACAGTTATTGGAGGGTCAAATTTAAAAAAAAAATATAAACGACTGAAGCATAGCTTAAGAAGGACTGTGGCAGAACAACAAATGCAACTTAGATTCATGCTTCCAGTACCAAGCTGGTGTCTCCTGTTAGGAGATGAGCCAGGAGTCAGGGACCCTGTATTCTAGTCCTGCAGTGACAGTACTTCATAGGGTGACCATGGACAAGTCAGTTTATGTCTTTGAGTCTCTTTCTCCCTATCTACAAAATGAAATGGTTGGTTTAGAATCTTTTTCTATTTGGTTACTGATAGCAAATATTTCAGGCTTTGTGGGCCATGTCGGACTCTTGCTTCTTCTTCTTTTTTCCTTCAACCATTTAAAACTATAAAAACCACTCCTGTCTTTGGGCAGTGCAAAATCAGGAAGTGGGCTGGTTTTGGGCTGCAGGCTGTAGTTTTCTGGGCCCTGGCTTAGAAACCCTGTCAGATCCCTTTCAGTCTAAATTCTTTGATTCTCTAATTATAGCTCAACCTTATGGATATAAATGTCCTCAAACACAGTGTGGTAGATGGAAAGATGAATTTAATTTCAGTTTTAGATTTTAGTTTAAAGATCATGTTTAAAGATAAGGTTTAATATTTTGCTCATTCATGGTTAAATACAAGCTACGATGTCTTCTGTCATTTTCCCAGAAGACTTATTTATAGTCTTCTTACAGTGGACTATAGGTCACCTTCTTTTTCCAGCTATGTAAAGGCATATACAAAAAAAAAAAAAGAAGAAAGAAAAAGATACTTGGGCATTATACTAGGAAAAGAAAGTATAGTCACTTATTGGAAAGTTACCCATACTCATTGCCTTGGAGTCAAATCCAATGCTTAGCCAACCCCATAGGACTGAGAGTAGAACTCCATAGGGTTTCCAAGGCTGTAATCATGAAATCGTAGCTTCAGATACCAGGAGGGTCATCCGTGGCTTCATTGGCGGTTCCAGCCCAAGACAGATTGGGAAGGAAGGTGTGGCCATGTACTTCTAAAACGTTGTGAAGACTTTTCAGAAGAGAAAGCTTTGTGAATCGCAGCTAGACTTCTGATATAGTGCCAAAAGATGGGCCCTCAGGCTGGAGCCACGCAGAATATGACTGGGGAAGAGCTGCCTCCCCGAAGTAGAGACAACCTTAATGACACAGATGGAGTAGAGCGTTCAGGACTTCATATGCTGATGTGGCAGTACTCAAAAATGAGAAGAAACAGCTTTAAACATTGATCAGTAATTGGAACATGGACTGCACGAACTATGAATCTAGGGAAATTGAAAATAGTCAAAAATGGAACAGTTGAAGATAAATGTCCTGAGCATTAGTGAGCTGAAATGGACCGGCATCAGCCATTTTGAATCAGACAGTCACATGGTCTACTATGTCAGGCATGGCAAACTGAGCAGGAATGGCATTGCATTCATTCTCAAAAAAAAAAATATTTCCAGATCCTCCGCAAGTACAGTGCTGTCAGTGATAGGACAATATCCATATGCCTGCAAAAGAAGACCAGTGAATAGAACTATTATTCAAATTTACCCATCAACCACTAATGCCAAGATGAAGAAACTGAAGATTTTTACCAGTTTGAAACTGATCATACATGCAGTCACAATGCATAGATAATTACTGGTGTATGGAGTATGGAAGTTGGAAATGAAGAAGAATTGATAGTTGGAAAATACAGCCTTTTTGATAGAAATGACACTGGAGATTACATGATGGAATTTTTCAAGACCAACGACCCATTCACTGGAAATACTTTTTTCAGCAATGTAAAAGGGGACTGTGCACGTGGACACTACTAGATGGAATAAACAGGAATCAAATTGAGTACATCTGTGGAAAGAGATGATGGAGGAACACAGTATCATCAGCCACAAGACCAAGAGCCGACTTTGAAATCTATCATGGATTGCTCATATGCAAGTTCAAGTTCAAGCTGAAGACTATTAAAACTAGTCCATGAGAGCCAGAGTATGACCTTAAGTTTATCCCACTTAAATTGAGAGAACATCTCAAAAACAGATTTGATACATTGAACAGTTGTCAAAGATAAGATGAGTTGTGGGATGACATCAAGGATATTACACATGAAGAAAGCAAAAGGTCATTAAAATGCAGGAAAGAAAGACTAAAATAGATGTTAGAACAGACGCTGAAAGTTGCTCTTTAATGTAGAGTAGCTAGAGTGAATGGAGGAAATGATGAACTAAAATAGCTCAACAGAAGATTTCAAAGGTCTGCTCAAGAAAATAAAGTGTGCAGTGCAGTGCAGAGTAAGTAGAATGCAATGTGCAAGGATCTGGAGTTAGAAAATCAAAAGAAGAAAACATGCAGCATTTCTCAGGCTGAAAGAACTGAAGGAGAAATCCAAGCCTCAGGTTATAGTATTGAAGGATTCTATGGACAAAAGGAAGAAGGGGCCATCCACTTCTCAAAGAATTGTCCAGGGAAAATCTTATGAATAGTGTTTTGAAATATGACTGGGGAAGAGCTGCCTCCACAAAGAAGAGTTGAAGGTGGATGAGTAAAGCTTTCAGGACCTCCATTTGCTGGGAGGACATAACTCACAATAGGAAGAAACAGCTGCAGGCATCTATTAAAAATTGGAATATGGAATGTACAAAGTATGAATGTCAGAAAATTGGAAGTTGTCAAAATGAAATGGAACCATGAAGATCGATATCCTAGGCATTAGTGAGCTGAAATGAACTGTTATTGGCCATTTTGAATCAGACAGTCTTGTAGTCTACTATGCTGGGAATGACAAATTGAAGAGGAATGACGTGTTCATTGTCACAAAAAATGTTACGAGATCTATCCTGAAGTACAGTACTGTCAGTGATAGGATGATATCCATACACCTGTAAGGAAGACCAGTTACTACTACTACTACTACTCAAATTGACACACCAACCATTAAAGCCAACGATGGGGAACTTAAAGATTTTTGCCAACTTCAGCAGTCTGAAATTGACCAAACATGCAGTTAAGATGTATTGATTGTTATTGGTGATTGGAATGAGAAAGATGGAAACAGAAGAAACAGCGATAGTTGGAAAAGATGGCCTTGGTGATAGATATGATGCTGGAGATCACATGATAGAATTTTGCAAGACCAACGACTTATTCGTGGCGGATACCTGTTTTCAACAACATAAACGACAGCTATACAAATGGACCTTGTCAGGTGGAATATAACAGAATCAGATTGACTATGTCTGTGGAGACACAATGGAGAAGCTCATTATCTTCAGGCAAAACAAGGCCAGAAGCTGACAGGAATAGGCTATCAACTGCTCATATGAAAGTTCAAGTTGAAGCAGAAGAAAATTAAAACAAATCCACAAGAGCCAAAATGTGACCCATCTGAATATAGAGACCATCTGAAAAATAGATTTGAAGCATTGAATACCAGTGACTGAAAACAGATGAGTTATGGGATGACATCAAGAATATCCTACATGAAGAGCACAAAAGGTCATTAAAAAGACAGGAAAGGAAGAAAAGACCAAAATGGATGTTAGAAGAGACTCTGAAACTTGCTCTTGAATGGAGAGTAGCTAAGCAAATGGAAGGAATGACAAGATAGAAGAGCTGAGAAGAAAATTGCAAAGAGCAGCTCAAGACAATGTCAGTTATTACAGTGAAATGGCAAAGACCCGTAGTTAGAGAACCATCACTCTTAAGAGAAGCTCAGTGTCCCTTGAGCCTTGTTTTCCTTTCCCCTTCCCTCCTGCCTGCCTCTGGTAACCTGTTATAAATTTTAGTCTCGTTGCCTGTTCTAGATACTTCCTGTAAATAGAGTTATACAATATTTGTCCTTTGTAACTGACTTAATTCACTCAGCATAATGTTTTTAAGGTTCATCTATGCTGTAGCCTTTATTTTTCCTTCTTTTTTATGAATGCTGATTGGTAATAGTAAGTCAGGTGACTGCATTGGGAGAAAGGGAGGGTTTGATAGAATTAAAGGGTTTGATTGGTTGGTTGAAGGATGGTTACAAGGTCCTTGGGTAATAACTATCACTTTCTCTCTAGGATAGTACTTTGTGTTGATATCTGCTATCATTATAGTTCTTGTTAATACAGATTATAAAATTCAGCACTTGTATCATAGTACCAAAGTCCCTGGGTAGTGCAGCGGTTAATTTAACTCACTTGGCTGCTAACCAAAAGCTTGGCAGTTCGAGTCCAGTCCATGGAAAAAAGGGCCTGGGGCTCTACTTCTGAACTATTAGTCATTGAAAACCCTATAGAGCATAGTTCTGACACACAAGGGACTGCCATGGGTCAGAATTGACTCGATGACACTTGGTTTGGTTTTGGTTATCTTAGCCCTGTCCGAAACCATTTTCCCACTTCACTGGTTTAATCCTCAGAACAGCTTGATAAGGTAGATATCGTAGTCTTATTTTTTGAGATAAGGACACTGAGTCTCACAGAGTTATTTACCCAGGGCCATTCAACTAGCAAGTGACACTCAGAACTCCTGCTTATGTCAGTTTGACTTCACTTTGGTCAGCTCCAAAGACCATGCTCTCTGCACTCCACTGTCCATTTCGTGCCCTTCAAAAGTGGCAGAGGATAAAGCAGCGTCAACTCTGACATATGTAGTACCAAGTTGCCATTGAAATTTTTCCACATAAGGAACTCCTGTGGATAGCAACCTTGTCTCTTTGTGGCTCCTGACTACTTGCTTTCTAATCCTGATAGAAAACTGGATTTATTGCTGTCAAAACTCAAGATATCAAAGCTAGGCTAAACAAAACTGTTCACTGGTGATTTTTATTTTTTTTGTGTGTCATGGACTTTTTTGTTTGTTTGTTTAAATTGTGGTGAAAATATTTGCACCAGAACATTTACTAACACAACAACATCCATATTTATGATTCAGTGATATTGAGTCCATTTTTCACGTTGTGTCATTATCACTATATTTTTCCAAAATATTCTACCACCATTAACATAAACTCAGTGCCTCTCAAACAAAAACTCCTGTCATAGTCTCTGTAAAATTTGACAAAGCAATGAGTTCTCTGCCCAGAGGATTTTGTCTTTACTTTCAGGGGGTCATGGATTCCATGAAGCCTTTCCTTAGACCCATATGTTGTCCATGCACTCCCCAGATTAATAGCTCTTTTTGTAAATACTCGATTGTGGTAGGGGCCATTGAATTGGTTCTAACTCATAGTGACCCTGTGTACAATTTATTGAAACACAGCCCAGTTAAGTATATATTAGGAGAATTCTTTATGTTGTATCATCATGGAATTCTCTATGGAAATCCTTAACCAGTTAGGTAATTTGGGCACAAGTATCTGAGCAGGGTGAGCCACCTGGAGTTGCCTTTATTTCTTGCAGGTTTAATATGAGACTTGGAATAACTTGGCTTTTTTTTTTTTTTTTTCAGGGCTCAGGCTGGCGAGCTGTGGGTCAAGAATGAGAAGGTCATGTGTGGTTATATCAGTGAAGATACCAGGGTAAGATTTAGAAAATGGTGTTTTTTTCTCAGTTTTATTTCCCTTAACCATTCTTTCTAAGTCCTGAAGTTAAAATAAGACAAAGCAACACAAAGAGATTTTAAAATGCATGATTATAGCTGTCTGCCCTGGTGGAAATGGTAATATTGTAAGGTTCTTCTGAAGCTTTAATGTTTTCCTTCTGAATCTCTTCAGTTTGGGTTCATCTTCATTTCCTTCTTCTTTTGAAGGGGGATTATTTAATCATCTCAAAAATAGAGATGTGGTGTCTGACCTGTGGTCTTCTTTGCCCACTAATACATAGCAAAAGTTATATTTTATGCAAGATCATGCTAGTAAACCCAGTTAGAAAAATAGGACCTGAACAGGTGTGAACGTTCCCATGCTGGTAAAGCTCCCCGTGTGTTCTGTTTCCCCCTAGGGCCCTGGTTCTTAACTGGGGGTGATTTTGATCCCCAGGGTTCTTTTGGCAATGTCTGGAGACATTTTTTGTCACGACCTGGGGGTTGTGCTACTAGCTTCTAGTGGGAATGCTGCTCAGCCTTCTACAGTGTACTGAACAGCCCCAAATTGTCTGCCCCTAAATGTCAATCATGTTCTTGTGGGGGCTGTCCTGTGCATTGTAGGAAGTTTACCAGCATGCCTGGCCTCCACCCACTCGATTCCAGTAGCTCCCCATCACCCCACCCCTACCCTCCATAGTTATGACAACCCAAAATATCTCTTGATGGTGCCAAATGTCCTTTGGGGACCAAAGTTGCCCCTGGTTGAATATCACTGCCTGAAATACATCTTTGTAATTTCCTTTTTTTAAAAAATTGTGTTAAGACATATATTTTTCCCTAGACAGCCTATTATTTGTTTTGCTCATTTCTCGGTTTTATTGAAGCAGAGGGAAAATTATGTAGTCTTTTATAGCTGGCTTTTTCATAGTCTACTATATGTTTTAATCTGTAATTAAGAGTGGATTTGGTGGGTTGTAGGTTCTGCTCTGTAAGAGAATGTCAAATTATTTTTCAAACTGTTGGGACTGGTTTATACTCCTCACAGCAACACATAAACTCTCCTGCTGTTTTCCATTTTGTCCAACACCTGGTATTAGATTGTTAAGGTTTTTGCAGCTCTCTTGGGTTTAAATTGCTATTTTATTATGCTCTTAATTTGCCGTTCTCTGGTTTACTAAAAATGAGAACCCTTAAGCATGACTTACAAAGACCGTCATAATTAGACATATGCTTACCTCTTCAACCCCATCCGTTCATTTTCTTAACACATGATATCCAAGCCCCTCCTGTGTGCCAGCTGCTGTGCCAGGCACCGGGATGCAGAGGGAACAGCACAGACAAGACCCCTGCCGGTAAAGAGCTTATACTCTAGACGAGGGACAGATGTTACTAGTCACCCACTCCATGAATGTGATAATCACAGATTATGGTGCGCACTCTGAAGGAAATTAATTGGGTAACGAGCAGGACTAACTGAAGGTGACCTCCTTCCTAGACAAATAAATAAAAAATTAAAAACAGAGCACTGAGATAGCTAATAACAGGAGGACCTAAGGTAACCGTTCATGTGACCTGAAGGGTGTGACTTAGCTGGTGTGTAGTGTAAGGAGCCCTGGTGGCACAGTGGGTAAAATGCTTGGCTGTTAACCCAGATGTTGGCAGTTTGAACCCACCTGTCACTTTGCAAGAGAATGATGACACAATCTGCTCCTGTAAAGCTTACAGCCTTGGGAACTTATGAAAAGTTCTACTCTGCCCTAAGGGTTAAGGAGCTCTGGTGGCATAAGGCATTTGGCTGCTAATGAGAAGGTCAGCAATGCAAACCCACAGGCTGCTCTGTGGAAGGAAGATGGGGCAAGCTACTTCCATAAAGATTTACAACCTCAGAAACCCAATAGGGTTGGTATGAGTCAGAATTGACTTGATAGCAGTGAGTTTGGTTTGGTTTTGGTCCTAAGGGTTTCTGCGAGTTGGTATCGACTCAATGGCGATGGGTTTGGGTTTGGTTTGCATCTTGGTTGTGGAGGTTGCAGTGAAGAGGAAACAATTGTAACAGAACATGTGGGAGAGGTAGGTATACTAACGTGGGAAGAATGATGTTGGTGGAGAACCAGACAGGTTCCAGCCGGTAACTTAGAATAGAGTGTATTCTAAGGACAATTAGAAACCAATGAAGTGTTTCAGGAGGGAGGTGGGGAGTGATACTTGAATTTGTTTTTTAGAGATCACTATCAGTATCCAGTTGGTTTTCACTGAACAAAAACCCAAAGTAAAAGTGACTGGCGTGCTTAAAGGTCTACTTTTCGTTCTCTCATGAAAGAAGTCCATGAGTTGGTAATTCATCGGTGGTATGGCAGTGTCACTGTCATTGGTGATCCAGGGCTCCTTATGTCTTCCTGTTCTGTCATCCTCAGCACACAGCTTCCATGATCCAGCTGACACTGCAGTAACCACATCCACATTCCAGGCAGAGGACTGAGGAGATGATGAAGGACAAGAAGGGTGCACCTTTCAGCCAAACTATCCTTTAAGGACACGACACTTACATTTCCATTTTATTGGCCAGAATTTAGTTACATGTAGCTGCTAAGGAGCCTGGGAAGTTCAGGTTTTTAACTGGATTCATAGACTAGAACCAGCTTCTGGTTACTTAGAAAGAAGGGAAGAAAGGATATTGGAGGGGCATCTGGTGGTGCATTATCTCTGGCAGCCCATGTGGTCTCGTGTAGAGAGTTGTTTGTTAGAGGCAAGAGTAGAAGCAAAGGAACAAGTGAGGCGGCCTGCTGTATAGTCCAGCAAGAATATGGTGCCTTAGACTAGAGTGAGAGCAGTTAAATGGAGAAATGTGGGCAGATTTGAGATATATTTTGGGGTAGAATCAACAAAGTTAATGATGTGAGGAGCTATAGAAACAGAAGAATCAAGAAACAGCCCTGGGTTATGGCTTGAACAACTGGATAGATGGTGGTGCCATTTATGAGAAGGGGATGTCTTAGGGAGAAACAAGTTGGGGGACGATTAAAAAGCTCAGTTTTTGAGATGCATGTTGGACATCTGGGCAGAGGAATCAGGGAAGCAATGGAGGCTAGACTTCCATTTCATCACTTTTTCCATGTGCTGACCCTCTGTCTTAGGCTGGGTTCTTTAGAGAAGCAAAACGAGTAAAGCTTCTTTATCTGTCTGTCTATCTATCTAATCAAGAGAGAAATTTATCTTGGAAAATGGCTCACACAGTTACAGAGGCTGGCAACTCCCAAGTGTCTGGATCAAACATCGAGCTGGAGGCCTTTCCCAACTCACACAGCTGCAGGGGCTGACAAGCTCAAGACTGGCAGGCAGTTGACTTCAGTGGATGGCGAATCCAAGGTCAGCGGGCTCACAGGATGGTTGTAGGAAGCACAACGAGATCCAGATGCACAGAAGGTTCCAGAATTTTTCCAGGACACCCATTTGTATATTGGAAGCAGGCCATACCTCTGAGGAAACTCCTTTCAACCGATTGTCTGCCCAGAGTACATACATCCGATCTTACGGGAATAACCACATCACAGCTGCTTAAACCACCCAGAATCGTGGTCCAGTCAAGTTGACACACAACCCCAACTATCATACTCTCCATAACCTAGCCACATGAACCAGCTGCTGTTCCCAGACCTGCTCTGTTGTTCTCTTTTGCCTCCATGACTTTACATAGGTCATTCCCTCCTGCCTGGGGCACATAGAGCCGGCCTTCCCCCTTTCCCTAGCCGCTCATCCAACCCTTAGGCATCCCTGCTTCTGGAAAGCCTAGTTGGTTCTTCAGGGCTAGAAGTGCCTCTGTGCCACCCTGGACATGTGCATGTTATAACACTCATCACACTGTGTGGTGGGTATATTTGTTTGCATTCCTGATACCAGACAGCCAGCACCTTGAAGGTAAGGGCTGTATATCCCCCAGTTCTTTATATCTTTACATCTTGCAGTTCTCTGGTATGGCTTCCAGCACTTAGGCTTTCCAGTGTTTGTTGAATGAAATTTCAGACATACTCTCTCCCTTCAAGAAATCATAATCTGATAGAAAAACAAGATTTTAATATGTGAAAAGAAATAAACACTACAGAGTTTAATTAATGTTACAAGGCCCTCTTTAAATTTTAAAACCAGTTTGATCAACTGGTTTTCTAGCCCACAGAAGATTAAAAGTGGTAAATTAAAAAGGAAAGGGAATATTGATGTAACTCTTCTCAAACATTGGAAGTTATATACAAACACCTAGATTCTGTATTTAACATTACATTGCTTCAGCGTTTATGTATCTGTCCAGCCATCCTTTTATTCATCAATCTCATTAGTTTGATTGTTGTTGTTGTTATATGCTGTCGAGTCAGCCCCGACTCATAGCAACCCCTCCTTGGGTTTCCGAGGCAGTATCACTACGGAAGTAGGATTGCCTAACTTCCTTCCGAGGAGTGGCTGGTGGGTTTGAACCGCCAGCCTTCTGGTTAGCAGTCAAGTGCCTTAGGCACTATGCTACCAGAGCTCCCCATTAGTTTGATTAGGGGAAGAAAAAAACTTCCAAAATTTGAAAATAATCATAATAAAACAATGTAAAAAGCCCCAAATTCTAGATGATGAGTAGCACCATTAACTGTGTGGTGCAGGTATAGGTTTTTTTTTTTTTTTGGTCCACTAGTCAGAGTAGGGGGTTACGGAGGTCAAGTGATTGATGGAATCTTAGCCCAAGTCTAACTCATAGTGGGTCCAGTGGGTCCCTGAACCCTAATGATTATATAGCACTTCAGTCAGTTGTTGTCAGATGCTGTTGAGTTTAATCAGACTCATGGCAACCCTGTAGGTCAGAGTAGAACTGCCTCATAAGGTTTCTTTTCTTTCTTTTTTTTTTTTTCTTTTTTAAAGTTTTATTGTGAATTGGGTGAAAGTTTACAGAGGAAATTCTTTTTCCGTACAGCAGTTTGTACACATTGTGTTTCATGATACAGTAGATAGGTTGTCGTT